TTGCACGGGCCTCTCTGTAGATCCACCCTGTTTCTGATGTGTAGTACAGACCTAAGGTTATTTAAGGAAGCATTTGCCCAGCAAGGATTCAAAGCCAAACACCAAACCACCCCTGGTTTGAATGCAACTGGGGGGCTTATGGGGGTGGGATTCTAAGCCCCTGCCTGCTCCCCCTCCCCACCCCCACCACAAGAGGCAGCGCTGGTTACATTGACCCATCGAGTGTCATCAGTGATTTATGGCCCTGCAGGGCCCAGCTGTTGGCCGTGGACAAGGCAGCTGCTCAAGGTTAAGCAGGCCCAATGTAAGGGACTTGTCGGGGGATGGCCCCAGTGCAGTTGTCCCCTCTCAGTGTCAAGGCGATGATCATGTGGCCAGTCTAGAAGCCAATGAAAGCTAAGGAGGAATTGTAGGGTACCCCTGCCCCCAATACCCACACTCGCCCCCATCCAGTAAGGCCCAAAGCTCTCCTCACAGCCAAATCCCCCGGATAACTGGACTGACAGGTTATCTAGGAGTCCTGGCCCAGCCTGCAGGATCAGTAGGTTGTCAAAGCTGCTCTCCCCATGTCCTGTGGTGTCACCTGATTGTCACTCAACAAAGGACATGCATGGGAGCAAGAGCTGAGAGAGGAAGGGAACATCCAGCTTTTTAACTGGCCCTTACTGAGCCCCAGGCTCTGTCCAAATGTTTCACTTGCATTTTCTCATCTATCCTTGCAACAAGCTAGTGAGGTAGATTTTACTAATATTCTCTTAAACCTTTTGAAAATGGAGATTCATAGAGGTTAAGAAACTAACCAAGATCCCTGTCTCTGGAGTCAGAGCTTTTAACAAAGTGCCTGCTCTTGGCCAGGCAGTTGGCATGGGCCAGTATTCTCTCTCCCCATCCTTGCTCAGAGGCCAGCAGGACAATCCCGGTTTGGAGTTGAGGATGCAGGTGTGGGGCCTTTCATCAGGTTGCTCAGGCAATGAGTGTGGGAGCTGGGAGTGTCTCTGGTATGCCTGACACCATGCTGTGCTCCTTTTCCTACTCCTTCAGCTTTGCTGCACTCCCCGATGCTGGGGGAAACTTCAGGGGGACCCACTGTGCACTTTGTGCACTTGTTGCCAACAGGGAAGGAAAGCCTGGGGTAGACCCTGTGTCCTGCCTGTGCCCCCTGCTCACTCAACTGCACTTGATCCTTTCCCCTTCCCCGAACATCCTTCTCTCTTGACCTCAGTTAGTCCATATTTTCCTGGGTTTCTCTTATGCTGCTGGCTGCCCCCGTTGGGGCTCCTTGTCTGACTCTCCCTTCTCTCCCTCCACTGTGGAAGGGCCCCAGAACTTGACCCTGAACTTGCGTACCTGTTAGTGTCTTTGTACTGAGCCTTACTCATTCCCACCTGTGACCTGATAACTTCAGGTCACAGGTGGGAATGAGTAAGACACACTTAACTGCTCCCTTGACATTTTTAACACCTTTATTGAGATTTAATTCATATACCATACAATTCATCCACTTAGAGCCTGTAGTTCAATGGGATTACATCTCCAGTTGTTTTAAAAGGACTACATCTAAGGGCCAGGATTGTGGCTCAGTGGTAGAGCGCTTGCCTAGCACATGTAAGGCACTGGGTTCAATACTCAGTACCACATAAAAATAAATAAAATAAAGGTATTGTGTCTATATATAACTAAATATATGGAAAAAAGACTATATCCCTGCTCCTTTATTTATTTATTTATTTTTAATTTTGAGCCTGTGGTAGTGGCACACACACCTGTAATCTTAGTGACTCTGGAGGCTGAATCAGGACAATCACAGTTTGAGACCAGCTCAGTAACTTAGGACATAAGGACTTAGTGACACCCTATCTCAATAAAACATTTTTTAAAAGGGACCTGGGGATGTGGCTCTGTGGTTAAGCAACCCTGGGTTTAATGTTTAATCCCCAGTATGATATATATATATATATATATATATATATATATATAATTTTTTGTTTTTGTTTTTGTCTTGAGACAGGGTTTCTCTAATTGCTGAGGCTGTCCTGGAACTTGTGCTTCTCCTGCCTCAGCCTCCCAGGTAGCTGGGACTACAGGTTTCAGCCTAATGTTTTTAAGGTCTATCCATGTTGTAACATGTGTCAGTTCTTCATTTCTTTTATAGTCAAGTAAAATTCCATTGTATGGGTGGAATTTATGAATGGATAATTTCATTTCTCCATTTATCCATGGGTAGACATTCATGTTTCTATTTTTTAGCTATCATGAACAATGATGTTAAGAAAATTGATGTTGGGCTGGAGATGTGGCTCAAGCGGTAACGTGCTCGCCTGGCATGCGCGCAGCGCTGGGTTCGATCCTCAGCACCACATACAAATAAAATAAAGATGTTGTGTCCACCGAAAACTGAAGAATAAATGTTAAAAAAAAAAAAAAAAAGAAAATTGATGTAGGGCTGGGGATGTGGCTCAAGTGGTAGCGCGCGCGCCTGGCATGCGTGCAGCCCGGGTTCGATCCTCAGCACCACATACAAACAAAGATGTGTCCGCCGAAAACTAAAAAACAAATAAATAAATAAATAATAAAAAAGAAAATTGATGTAAACATTTTTGTGTGAATATGTACTTTCATTTCTCTGGTTATATATACCTAAGAGTGTGTTTTAATCAGCTTTTTTGCCACTATGGCTAAAAGACCAGAACAAATGTAGACGAGGAAGTTTATTTGGGGGCTCACTATTTCAGAGGTCTCAGTCCATAAACAGCTGGCTCCATTCTGCGGGGCTCGAGGTGAGACTGAACATCATGGTGGAAGAGTGTGGCAGAGGGCAGCAGCTCATATGATAACCAGGAAGCAGAGAGAGACTTCACTGCCGAAGACAAAATACATACTCCAAAGCTAGGGCCACCTCCTCCAGCCTCACCCTACCAGGCTTCAGTCACCATGTAGTTAATCCCATCAGGAGATGAAGTCACTGATTGGGTTAAGCCTCTCATAACTTGATCATTTCTCCTCTAAACCCAATCATTATCTCATACATGAGCTCTGGGGGGACACCTCACATCCAAACCATAACAGAGTGGAGTTATTGTAGCACAGGGTAACTCTACGCTTTTTTTTTTTTTTTTTTTTTTTTTGGTACTGGGGACTGAACTCAGGGGCATTCGACCACTGAGCCACATCCCCAGCCCTATTTTGTATTTCATTTAGAGACTGAGTTGCTTAGCGCCTCACTTTTGCTGAGGCTGGCTTTGAACTCTCGATCCTCCTGTCTAAACCTCCTAAACTGCTGGGATTACAGCGTGCACCACTGCACCTGGCTTCTACATTTAACTTTTTGAGGAACTGACAAACTGTTTTCCCTGGTGATGTGTCATTGTGCATCCCTACCATTAATGTATGAGGGCTCCCCATTCCCGCATCTTCTCCAACACTTACTGCCTTTGAATCCATTCATTCTAGTGGATTCCAGTAGTTTCTCACTGTGGTTTTGATCTATGATTGCTTAATGGCTAATGATGCTGAGAATGTTTTCATGTGCTTCTTGTCCAAGCATTCATTTCATCTGTCTATCCCTCTTTCCTTTCTTCCTTTTCTTTCTTTTTTCAGGAAGTTTGAGTTTTTCATTTTTTTTTTAATTTCAAGGTTATTATGGCAGTTCTGGGTCCCCTGTATTTTCATTTAAATATTAAGATCAGCTTGTCAATTTTATTCTAAAAGCCAACTAGCATTTTGATAGAGATCACATTGAATCTATAAATCAATTGGATATATTGTATTCTTAAAATATTAAGATTTCTGTGAACATAAAATTGTCTTTTCATTTATTTATATTTTATTTGGTTTCTTTCAGCAGTGCTTTATAATTTGCAGGTAAGTCTTACATATCTTTAGTTAAATTTATAGCTAAGTATTTTATTCTTTTATTTTTCCTGTACCTGGAATTAGTTTCCTAATTTCATTTTTGGAATGTTCATTGCTAGCATGTAGAAATGCAATTGATCGTCATGTCCTGAGCTGCCTTCCTGTCACCCTTCCATCCTACAACATGCTGTGAGTAGAGAAGTTTTCTTTCTTTTCTCCTTTTTTTTTTCTTTTCTTTTCTGAGACAGAGTCTAAGTTGCTTAGGCTCTTGCTAAATTGCCCAGGCTGGCCTTGAACCTGTGATCCTTCTGCCTCAGCCTCCCCAATGGCTGGGATTAGAGGTGTGCACCCCTGGACCTGGCGAAATAGTTTTAGTTTTCCCTTCTAATATGGATACTTTTCATTTCTTTTTCTTACCTGATTGCCCTAACTAGAATAATGTTAGGTAGCAGTGATGACAGACAACATCCTTATCTTATTTGTGATCTTAGGAGGACATCATTCAGCTTTCACCGTTAAGAATGATATTAATTATAGCCAGGTATGGTGGCCCATGGGTGTAATTCTAGCCCTTCAGGAGACTGAGGCAGGAGGATCACGAGTTCAAAGCCAGCCTCAGCAATTTAGCAGGCCCTAAGGGTCTCTAAATAAAGTATAAAAAAGGGCTGGGGGTGTGGCTCAGTGTTTGAATGCCCCTGAATTCAATCCCCAGTACCAAAATAAAAGAAAAAGGAATGATGTTATTTGTGGGTTTTTCACAGATTCCTGTTATCAGGTTGTGGAGCTTCTCTCCTATTCATACATTTTTGAGTGTTTTATCATGAGAGTGTGCTGGGCACATACCCTTTTCTGTATCTATTGAGATGATCCTATGGCCTTTTTTAAAAAATATTTTTTAGTTGTCATTGGATCTTTTATTTTATTCATTTATTTATATGCAGTACTGAGACTCAAACCCAGGGCCTCATGCATGCCAGGCAAGCACTCTACCACTGAGCCACAACTTCAGCCCTAGGGCTTTTATCTTTTATTCTATCAATGTGATATATTACATTAATTGATTTCCAAACATGAGGCAACCCTCAGGATTGATGATTCACAAGGACTCTGAGGACTCTGCATATGTTATATTCCCAGCTGAGATTTATCATAGTGAAAGGATACAAAGAAAGATCAGCCCAGGAAACAGCACATGGGGCAAAGTCCAAAGCAAAGCAGGCACAAGCTTCCAAAGTGCTCCTCCAGTGGAGTCAATAGATGACAAGCCTGATTCCTCCAGCAGCAAGCTGTGACAACGCGTCTGAAATGTCTGCCAGAGAAGCTCATGTGAGACTTCGTGCTCAAGGTTTATTACTGGAGCTGGTCACGGAGTCAGCTTCTGCCTAGCACATACCCAGATCACAGACTCCCAGAAGGAAAGCAGGTATTTAGCATGAACCACATTCTTTGTGCAGTGGAGGTACAGCAAGCCATTCTTACCAGTCCTTAAATCCCTGTTCCCAGATGCCAGCCAAGGATAGAGTTCAAAAGCAGGCATTTCAAAGGATAGCCGTCTCAACTCTACCATATTAACTTTCTTCTGCAGAAGATGTTAAACCAATTTAGCATTCCCAAGATAAATCCCACTTATCATGGTGCATAATCCTCCTGTTTCTGTTTCCCTAGTAGCCGGAATACAGCCATGTGCCACCATGCTGGACACATAATTTTTATACATTGTTGGATTCAATTTCCTAGTATTTTGTTCAGGATATTTGTATCTAAGTTAATAAGGTATATTGATCTGCAATTTTCTTTTCTCATGAAGTCTTTATCCAGTTTTGCTCTCAGGTTGTATTGGCTTCTTCCAATGTTTGGAAAATGTACCCTCCTATTTGTTAGAAGTGGGTAAAAGATTAGTACATTAGTTTCCTATTGCTGCTGTAAATAAGTTACCACAACCTTAGTGGCTTAAAATAACATAAACTTATTTTTTTATAACTCTGGAGATTGAAAGTCCAAAATGAGTCTCTCAGGGATAAAACAAGGTGTCAGCAGGCCCGTTCCCTCTGGAGGTTCCAGGAAACATCCATTTCAGGTCCCTTCCAGTTTCTAGAGGTTGTTCATGGCTTCTTCCTCTATCCTCAAAACCATCTGAGTAGAGTTTTTTTTTTTTTTTTTGAACTAGGGATTGAACCCCAGGGGTGCTTAACCATTGAGCCACATCCCTATCCCTTTCTATATTTTATTTTGAAACAGGCTTTCACTAAGTTGCTGAGGGTTTTACTGAGTCACTGGCCTCCAATTTGCAATCCTCTTGCCTCAGCCTCCTGAGTTCCTGGGATTACCGGCGTGCCCCAAGCATACCCAACTGAGTAGTGGCTTTTCTTAGACTGTGTTCCCTCTGGTACCTCTGCTTCCTCCTTCTTACAGTCTAGATCCAAGTCTTCTGCATCCCTGTTATAAGGACCCTTGTAATTACATCAGGCCCAGAATAATCTTTGCATTTTTGACATTCTGAATTTAACCCCATTTACAAAATGCTTTCTGGCAGATAAGTGAGCATTCATAGGTCTGTGGATCAGGACATGGATATCTTTAGAGTTGTTATCCAAATACAAAAAAATAAGAAAGAAAGAAAGAAAGAAAGGAAGGAAGGAAGGAAGGAAGGAAGGAAAAAAGAAAAAAGTAGTCATTTTTCAGTAGACCACAGTTGGTGTTAATTCTTTAAATATTTGGTAGAATTCTCAAGTGAAGCTCTCTGGCCTGTGGGAAGTTTTTAATGACTAATTGGTTATCTTTACTTGTTATAGGCCTACTCAGATTTTTCAATACTTTTTTTTATTCTTTATTTTATTTATTTGTTTTTATGTGGTGCTGAGAATCGAACCCAGTGCCTCACACGTGCTAGGCAAGTGCTCTACCACTGAGCTACAACCCCAGTCCTCAAGATATTTTTGAGTTAGTTTTGGCAATTTGTGATTTTCTAGAATTTGTCCATTTCATCTAAATTATCTAATTTATAGTACAGTTATAGTATTCTCTTGCAATTTTTTATATTTCTATAAGTTTATGTCAGTGTATTTTTATTTTTTAAATTTTGATCAGAATCTTGCTAACTTGCCCAGGTTGGCCTTGAACTTGTGATCCTCATTCCTCTGCCCTTTGAGTAGCTGGGGTTAAAGGCATACACTACTGTATCAGGCTAATTTATTTTTTTAATTAAAATTATTTTTAACTGATACATAAACTGCATATTAATGGAGGGCCATGTGATGTTTGAATACATGTTTTCATTGTGTAATGTTTAAATCAGATTAGACATAGCTATCTCCTAAAACACTTATCATTTCTTTATAATGAAAATATTCAAAATCCTTTCTTCTAGATTCTTTTTCCTTTCCTTTCTCTCTTTCTTTTTTTTTTTGTGGGGGGAGGAGGGGGCAAATACTGGAGGTAGCCCAAGAATTCTCTGCTCTACCACTTAACTACACCCAAGTCCTTTCTTAATTTTTATTTTGAGAGAGGGTCTCAATAACTTGCTGAGGCTGCCTTGAACTTGCCATTCTCCTGCCTAAGCCTCCCAAGCTGCTGTAATTACAGTGTACAGTCACACCTGGCTTCTTGTACCTCTTGAAATGTATAGTAGATTATTGTTATCTATAGTCTACATAAGCCTAAAGTGGACAATCTGAAAATATTTAGACCATGAAGAGATCAAGCAACTCATTTATTTAATTTTTAATTTTTTTGGTACCAGGAATTGAACCCAAGGGTGCTTAACCTTTGAGCCACATCCCCAGTCCTTTTTATTTTGAGACAGGATCTCATGTTGCTTAGGGTCTCACTAAGTTACTGAGATTGGCTTTGAACTCCTGATCCTCATGCCTCAGCCTCCCAAATTCCTGGGATTACAGGTGTTTGCCACCCATAAGACCCTGTGATTTATAAAGAATATAAATTTGTTTGTCTGACAGTTCTGAAGACTGTGAAGTCTGAGCTGGCATGCTGAGCATGGCACCAGCATCTGGTGAGGGCTTTTCTGCTGCATCTTAACATGGTGGAGGGCATCACATGACCAGACAGCAACCACCGTAGCTCAGGTCTCTCCCTCTTCTTATAAAGCCACTAATGCTACCATGGAACCCCTATCCTCATGACCTCATCTAATCCAAATTACTTCCCAACCTCTTTACTTCCAAGATTCATTAACAAACGAGTTTGGGGATTAAGTTTCCAATACATGAACTTTGTAGGGAACACATTCAAACCATAGCAGATTGGTAGTTCTGTCCCTTTTTTGATCTTTCTCTCTCTCTCTCTCTTTTTTTTTTTTTGTCAGAACTGAGGATTGAACCCACAGACATTCTACCACTGAGCTACATCCCAGCCCTTTACAATTTTGTTTTGAGACAGTGTCTTACTTAATTGCTCAGGCTGGCCTTGAAGTTGGGATCCTTCTGCACTGGGATTACAGGTGTGTTCCACTGTACCTAACACCTTCTTTGACTTCTGATTTTAGTAATCTGCATCTTCTATCCTCTTTTGTTAATGAATTTAAGGAAAAGTTTATCACTTGTGTCAATTTTTTCATAGGATCAACTGTTGGTTTTGTTGATTTTCTCTGTTCTTTTTATATTCTTAGTTTGTTTATTTCTGATCTAGTCTCTTCTGCCTTTTTTTTTTTTTAAACTGGTAGGGAGCTCGCTAAATTGCCCAGGCTGACCTTGAACTTGTCATCCTTCTGCCTCAGCCTTCTTTTTATTTTTTTATTGCTTTTATTTTTTAAATACATGACAGCAGAATGCATCACAATTTTTATTACACATATAGAATGCAATTTTTCATATCCCTGTTTGTATATAAAGTATGTTCACACCAATTCATGTCTGCCTCAGCCTTCTGAGTAGCTAGAATTACAGAAGTGTGCCGCTGCACCCAGCTCTCCTTCCTTCTTTTTGCTTTGGGTTTAGTTTGCTCTTTTTCTTTCCCAGTTCTTTGTTTTATTTCATTTTGTTGATGCTAATGATCAAACCTGGCATCTCATGCATGCTGGACAAGGGCTCTACTAAGATAGGCCCCCAGCCCTCTACTTTCTAGTTTTTTTTTCTTCCTCCTCCTCCTCCTCCTCCTCCTCCTAATTGTTCTGGACAAGTATTTATAATGGAAAAAATAGCTTAAATATTTGAGAAGAAGAATGGATAAAGATATTTTAGATTCATAAGATAAAATGTAATATCTATTAAAATTTTAGTCTGAATAACTAGAAAAATGCTCACAACATAATTGAATTAGGCTACAAAATAGTTTAAAATTTACAAACTCTCTCTCTCTCTCTCTCTCTCTCTCTCTCTCACTGTGGCCATACTTCTGAAGAGGGTGCCAATCCAGGCACCACAGCTCACTCCGATAATCCCAATGATTTAGGAGACTTAGGCAGGAGGGTTGCAAGTTCCAGGCCATCCTCAGTAATTTAGCAAGACTCTAAGCAACTTATTTATACCCTGTCTCAAAATGAAAAGTAAAAAGTGCTGGGGATGTGGCTTAGTGGTTAAGCACCCCTGGGTTCAATCTCGGGTACCAAAAAAGAAAGAATCAAAGAGAATTTTTCTAAGAAAAAACTTTTTTTAAATGAGTTTACAGTAGCCCAAGTGTTCAGTGTTGTAATCTACAGCAGTGCATGCTAATGTCTAGACTTTCACATTCACCACTCACTCTCCTCTTACTCAGAGCAACTTCCAGTCCTGCAAACTCCTTTCTTTTCTTTTCTTTCTTTTTTGCGATGCTGGAACCCAGGGCCTCATGTAGCTCTACCATGAACTACATCCCCAGCAGTGGTAACTTCTTTTGTGGTAAGTGTTTATACAAGTGTACTATTTCTTTGCTTTTTGTTTGTTTGTTTTTGGTACTAGGGATTGAACCCAGGGGTGCTTAACCTCTGAGCCACATCTCCAGCACTTTTTATTTTGAGACAGTGTCTCACTAAGTTGCTTACAGCTTTGTTAAGTTGCTGAGGCTGGCTTTGAACTTGCAATCTTGCTGTTTCAGCCTCATGAGACACTGGGATTATAGGCGCATGCCATGGTGCCTGGTTATTTCTTTACTTTTTATACTTTAATTTTTACTGTGCCTTTTCTATCTTAGATAAGCTTACATACATAGGTGTGATTGTGTTGCAGTTGCCTGCGGTATTCAGTGGAGTATAGTGCCACACAGGTGTGTAACCCAGGAGCAACAGGCTCTCCCACCTAGCCTAGGTGTGTAGCAGACTGCACCACCTCGGTCTGTGCAGGTGTACTCTGTGATGTTTACATTATGGTGACATCACCTAACAATGCAGTCCTCAGAAATGCCTTGCCTTATACTTAACATCCTTTCTCCATTTCTCGCACCCCTACCAAACTTGTTACATAACTTTGAGATGGACACACGGTAACCCACAATGACAATAACACTAGATATGACAATGGTCTAAGCTTTTGCTGATGGGATATAAGGAGATGTGTTTTGCCACAGCTGCCTGAACAGGAAATAAGAGACTGTTGTGTACCCTGCTCCTGCTTCTTCTTTATCTCTTTGCCTGAATTTCTTCAGGTAGCACACTGGAGCTGAAGGATGAAGTCTATCCATTGGCACAGGAGGGCAGAGCAGGGAGCTGGAAGCAATGTGAGCAGATAACTTAGTGGAACACAGCTTCTATTCCTGCCTGTGTACATCTGGTATTTTTTATTCTATTCTAAGTCATTCAAAGTAATGTTGTTTTTGACCCTTTTGACTTCACAACACACTAAAGGGTCACAAGTGCAGCTTGAAAACTATCACTGAGCTACCTCCCCAGCAGTGGCAACTCCTTCCATGGTAAGTGTGTTATTTCTTTTTCTTTTTTTTTATACTGTAAATTTCACTGTGCCTTTTCTAGTTTTTTTAAATTATTAATTTATTATTTTTATTTTCATATGGTGCTAAGGATTGAATCCAGTGCTTATACATGCTAGGCAAGCACTCTGCCACTGAGCCAAGGCCCCAGCCCCCTTTTCTGTGTTTAGATATGCTTAGATACACAAATACTTAAAATTGTGTTGCAGTTGCCTATGGTATTTGGACCCCCAAACCAGATGTGGTGGCTCATTCCTGTAATCGCAGCAACTCAGGAGGCTGAGGCAAGAGAATCTCAAATTAAAACTTGGCCTCAGCAATTTAGCAAGGCCCTCAGCAACATAGTAAGGCTGTGCCTCAGTGGTTAAGCACCCCTGGGTTCAGTCCTCGGTATTAAAAAAAAAAAAAAAAAGAGTCTTGCAAGAGAAAGATTCAGGTTGAAGGGTGCCAGCCTGTGGCAAAGATAGAAAGGATATAGTGGCAGTTAGTTTCCAATGCAAGTTGCCCAAGAATCCTACAACATGGAGATTTTCAGGGCTAAAAACAAACATCTCTTTTGGTATTGCAAATTGCAAATTTGAGCAATGGGCTGGGGGTGTCACTCAGAGGCATAATGCATGCCTGGCTGTGGGTTACATCCCCAGCAGCAAAAACAACAATAAAAATTTAAGGGGGTGGGGAGGTGTAGCTCAGTGGTAGGGTGCTTGCCTAGCATGTGTGAGGCCCTGTGTGATCCCTGTGATCTTCAACACCAAAATACAGAAATAAATGTAAACAACTATAAGGAGTGGTTTGGGAGTAAAGTCTTGGCTCAAGATGAGTCTAACTTCTCCCAGAGTCTATGAGCCTGGAGGCAAAGATGGCCGATGTCGGCATTAAGGATGCCACCTTCCTACCCCTGACTCAGAAGCACTGAAAGAGGTTGTCCTTAGGCTCAGCACAGCCTCATTTGCAGAACAAAGCATTTAGATTTTAAAAAGTATGTCTGGGGGCAGGGGGTTTAGCTCAGAAGTACAGCATTTGCTTAGCTTGTGGGGCCCTGAGTTCCAGAGCTCTCTCTCTGCTGCCTACCTCTCCCGTATCTACAGGGGAATAATGGAAAAGGAAGAACCTCCCAGAATGCAGAATGAGGGGCTATCTGAATGGTATCCAAGAACCAGTTCTACTGCCATAGAGGGGAATCTTCCCTGTCCCTCTTCAGAGGATGCCATGTTTATTTAGCCATGCTGGAGATGGAACCCAGGGCCTCACACATGCTGGGCAAGTTCTTTACCACTGAAGTATTTGTGTGGACAAATAGGCTTTCTTTTCTCTTGGGTAAATCCTTCAAACCTTTTTTCAGTTAAACATACATAACAAAATTGACCATTTTAACCTTTTTCTTCTCAAGGTGGGTTCTTGATACGTTGGCCAGTCTGACCTCGAATTTGCTATCCTCCTGCCTCAATAGCTAGGATTACAGGTATGTACCACCATGCCAGGCTCCATTTTAATTCCTTTCGAGTTGTAGTTCAGTGATACCAAGTATTTTCACATTTTGGTGTGATACCACTTTCACTATCCATTTCCAAAACTTTTTCATCATTCCAAATAGAAATTCTGTATTATTTAATAGTAACTCCCCATTCATCTCTCCCCTAGACCCTGGTTACCATTACTCTACTTTGTCTTTATGCATTTGCAAAATCTAGGTACCTTATATAAGTGGAGTTATATAATGTTTGTCTTTTTGTGTCTGGTTCTTTTACTTATCATAATGTTTTCAAGTTTGTCCCCATTGTAGCATCGCTGACTAATATTTCATTGTATCTATATCCCACATTTTATTAATCTAACAATCTTAGGACACTTAGGATGCTTCTGCATTTTGGCTACTCAAGCAACACTGCTATGAACATGAATGTGCAAGTACTTTTTTGAGTCTCTAATTCATTTTTTTTATTACTATCAAGGAGTAAAATTGCTGGATCATATGGTAAATCTGTATTTAACTTTTTGAGGAATTGCCAGACTCTTTTCCTCTTTTCCCCTTTTCAGCAAAATGGAATATATTTAATAATTATTTGGGATAACAGTGTAAACTGGGACTGTCCCAGGCAGATTGGGATATATGGTCATTTTTCCTATATATAGATATATGGCTGAAATGTTCAGAGAACATTGTTCACCAGTGTACGTTTTCCATTTGTGCTATAAAACTTCGTTGTGTACATGGCCACTCAGAATGAAATTTGGTTCCCTGGCTGCCTAACAGCAAGGTGTAGCCATGAAACCAAGTTCTGGCGAATGGATGAGTAATGGTGGGCAGCTTCTGGGGGGGTCATTCTTGTCTCCTCTCTCTCTCTCTTTTCTCCTGGCTTGAAAAGAGAGGTGATGGCTACTAGATCCTGAAGCTTGAGACACCTTGGAAAAAGAAGATGTACAACACGGAACAAGGGGATAAGAGGAGCCCCTGTCCCTGACAACAGATTGGGATTCCTGATACTGCCCTGGACCACCTACCTCAGGATTTTTACTTGAGAAAGAAAGAAATTCTTGGTGTCTTTCTTTCTTTCTTTCTTTCTTTCTTTCTTTCTTTCTTTTCTTCTTGATCCTAATTCTTTCATGTATTTCTAGTAGCTAGTTACCATTTTTTTTCTTTTTCTTTGAGAAAGGGTCATGCTAATTTGTCCAGCTGGCCTTATACATGAGATGCTCCTGCCCCAGCCTCCCAAGTGCTGGTATTATAGACAAGCACCATCGTTCCTGGCTTATATTGATCACTGTGATGCTCTAAAGGGGATCATTTTATGTTACTGTTCTTAGAGTGGAAACCAGCTGCAGTATCTGGCCTTCTTTGCTTTGTTGGACCTCAGTCTAGTTTGAGTTCCTTTGCCCTCCACACCTCCTCCTTCCTTTTTCTCCTCAGTCTTTTGTTCCCCCATCCCACGACAAAGCCTCTCAGCCTAAACAGTCACTATTTTCTCCACCAATTCTCCCTCTCTTTATATATATATATATATATATATATATATATATATATATATATATATATATTTTTTTTTTTTTTTTTTTTTACTTTTGTAGTGCTGGGGCTGTAACAGGGCCTCATGTCTGCTAGGCAAGCGCTGTATCACTGAGCAACATCCCCAGCCCATCTGCCTACTTGTTCTCACTGGAACCTGGCTCAACCTGGCTGCCCATAGGAGCAGAGGCTCCTGGTCTCCTCCTACCTCTTTGCCTCGCTCACTCTGTAGCCCCCTCTCTTGCTCTTCACTATTCCCCTTCAGTCTCCTCTTCTGAGGCTGTGCGCATGTCATCCCTGCCATTCCAGCATGCACACCAAGAACCCTAGCATCGCACCCTCCCATGGGGCAGGCAGTACAAGGAAAAGAGACCAGGGACTGATGCTGTTGGTTGTGGACCATGGGTTCCAGTCTGAACCTTCACCGGGGTAATGAGGACCTCGTCACTCCCCAAATTTTAATCTCTAATATTCTGTCTAGTTTTCCTGCTCCCCCAGCCCCTCTGCTTCCCCTGAATCTTGTCCGTGTTTCTCCAACTCCCCTTAGGAGTGTGGCTTTCCCTGAGAGCTGTGGTCCCACCAGCACTCTGTTTAACCATTTATTGTCTCACCAGCCTGACTGGCACCTCTGTCTCCTTCTGTACTGCCTGTCCCTCCTGTCCTGCCTCCTCTAGGAGGAGGAGTCTGCAAGCTTTTTCTGTAAAGGGCAAGATAGCAAGTATTTTAGGCCTTGTTGGTCTTCCCTCCTGGTCACAGGTAAATGAACGATCCTCTCCTGGGGAGATAGCTGAAGGGAGAGAGGATGCATCCAGGATGAGGGAACACAGAACAGTGTGGGGCTGAATCTAAAGGGAAAGGCTAGGAGCCTGAAGAGTATTTTTTATTTGTTTATTTTTTTGGTACTAGGGATTGAACCCAGGGGTGCTTAACCACTGAGCCACATCCCCACTCTTTTTTTATTTTTTTATTTTGGTAAGTTGTTAGGGACTCACTAAGTTGCTGAGTCTGGTCTTGAACTTGCAATCCTTAAGATAGGAGTTTTTCTTTCGCTAAATGGTCCATGGAGGGAATAGCTCTCCACAATATCAGGAACTCTGGCCTGTTGGATTCTTTCATGGTATCCTTCATATCCTCCATTTCCAAGATTGCTCATTGTACAAGATGGCTGTTTGAATTCCAGCCACCAACTCTTTACTGCCTGGCCATGGAAGGAAAAGGTAAAGAGGTGGATATGTTCTCCCTGTGGTAGACACCCTCGATAATGACGCCCAGTGATCTCTGCCTCTTGGTGTTCACATCTTTGTCTAACTCCCTCTCCCTCAGTATGGCTGGATGTATCGATTCACTTCCAAGGAACAGAATACAGAAAGTGAGAGCTTGTCAATGGTCGAGTGCCCCTGGGTTCAATGTCCCAGTACTGCAAAAAAAAAAAAAAAAAGTACAACTTGTACCTCCAAGACTAATTCATAAAAAGATGGTGAGTTTTGTCTTGGAGGCTTTTCTCACTTTCTCTTGGATTGCACACTCTGGGGAGTGAAGCAGTCCTGGGCTCTGCCTCATGAAAGAATTGGAAATGAATTTTTTTTTTTTTTTTAGTACCGGGGATTAAACCCAGAGGCACTTAACCACTGAGCCACATCCAGCCCTTTTAAATGTTTTACTTAGAAATGGTCTCACTAAGTTGCTTAGGGCCAGCTGAGGCTGGCTTTGAACCCGTGATCCTCCTTCTCGGCCTCCTGAACTCCAGGATTACAGGCAGGCGCTACTGCACTCAGCTCAACATTCTTCAGGGGAGTACCAGGGATTGAACTCAGGGGCACTTGACCACTGAGCCACATCTCCAGCTCTATTTTGTATTATATTTAGAGAGGATTTCACTGAGTTGCTTATTGCCTCACTTTTGCTGAGGCTGGTTTTGAACTTGCCATCTTCCTGCCTCAGCCTCTGGAGCCACTGGGATTACAGGCGTGCACCACAGCCCCTGGCTCATCCTTTTTTAAAAAATATTTTTTAATAGTTGGTAGACCTTTATTTTTATTTATTTATACATGGTGCTGAGAATTGAACCCATGCTGAGAACCTCACACATGCTAGGCGAGTGCGCTACCTCTGAGCCCTAGCCCCAGCCCCTGGCTCATCATTTTTAAAAAACATTTAATGATTTATTTTGGGGGGTACCAAGGATTAAAACCCAGAGTGCTTAACCTCTGATTTTGTGTGTGTGTGGTGCTGGGGACTGAACTCAGGACCTTAGGCATGCTAAGCAAGTGCTCTAGCTCTGAGCTACATCTTCAGCCCTAAACCCAGCATTTTAAAGCAGAGGATCCTTCTTGACATGTGGACCCTCCCTCCTTGAGCTCTCGAATCTTCTCTGGTTCTTCTGCTGATTTCCTGTTCAAGCCCCTCCAAACTTAAGTCCCAGCTCTGCCCCCATGAGACTTTCCATCCCTCCTGATGTGAGAGAGGTTCTAGGCCATTTTCCTCCTGCTGTCAAATTCCAGCTGGAAGGGCAGTAGAGTCATCCTGTGCTTGGTTGTCCTTGTGGATTCCCAGGAAGATGGGGTTGGGGCTCTTGTCCTCCCAATCGTAGGTGTTTCCCTTTAGTTCCATCCCTTTCTATCAGCAGTGGCTATAGCCATTTCACTTCTCAGTTACCAAAGGGCAGATTCACCTCATCACCATAGAACTAAATTTCTCCCAACCCTCCAGTCATAAAAAAGCATAATTTCCTCCTATTGACAGAATTTTTCCCTGTTCCCTGAAAAATGGTAAAGATTCCCTAGGCTTTTGGTCCCAAAAAGGAATTTTCTTTCCTTTTCCTCCTGGGCTTTTTTTTTTTCAAACTGGGAACTTAACCACTGAGCCACATCCCAAGCTCATTTTAAAAATTTTTACTTAGGGCTGGGGATGTGGCTCAAGTGGTAGCGTGCTCGCCTGCCATGCATGCGGCCCGGGTTCGATCCTCAGCACCACATACAAACAAAGATGTTGTGTCTGTCAAAAATAAAATAAGTAAATAAATATTTAAAAAAGGGAAAAAAAAGAAAATGATTAGGGGCGGGGGTTGTGGCTCAGCAGTAGAGTGCTCGCCTAGCACGTGCGCGGCCCTGGGTTTGATCCTTAGCACCACATAAAAATAAATAAATAAAATAAAGGTATTGTGTCCAACTACAACTGAAAAATAAATACAAAAAAAAAAGATTAAATGCTTTCATCTTGACTATGAAGAATTTCAGCAAAATACTTACAACTGGGTGGGTAAATTATAAACAACAGAAGTTTATTTGGCTCACTGTTCTGGAGCTTGAGAAGTCCAAGATCAAGGGGCTGCATCTAGAGAGGGTCTTCTTGCTGCTTCATAACATGGTAAAATGCATCACATGGCAAGAGAAAGAAAAAGAGAATAAAAGAGAAAAAAGGGGCTTAGCTCCCCTTTTATAAATAAACTGCTCCCACAATAACAACCTTAATCTATTTATGAGGATGGTGCCCCCATGACCTAATCGACTCTGAAAGGTTCCACCTCTCAACTGTCATATTGGGGATTAAGTTTCCAATGCATTAATTTTTAAATATTTGGTTAATTAGTCAGTTATTGGTACTGGCAATTGAATCCAAGACTGGTATAGTGCTCTACCATTGAGTTACATCCCCAGCTCCTTCTTTTACATTTTTATTTTTTGAGACTGAGTCTCATTAAATTGCCCAGTCTGGCCTCAAACATTCAATCCTCCTGCCTCAGCCTTCCAAGTTTCTGAGATTACAGGCATGTTCCAACATGTCCAGCACCAACATATGAATTTTTTAAAAAAATATCTTTTTAGTTGTCAGTGGACCTTTATTTTATTTATTATATGTGGTGCTGAGAATTGAACCCATGCTAGGTAAGCATTCTACCACTGAGCTATAATCCTGGCCCTCCAACACATGAATTTTGAGGGACACATTAAACCCATAGCTGTGAATTATTCTTTTTTTTAATATTTATTTTTTAGGTGTAGATACACAATGCCTTTATTTTTTTTTTTTCTATGTGGTGCTGAGGATTGAACCTGGGTCCCACCCATGCTAGGCGAGTGCTCTACCGCTAAGCCCCAATCCCAGCCTAGCTGTGAATTATTCTGAGCTAGATCTCTGATTCCTAAATTTTCCTCTAATCTTGGTAGAGTTTGGTCATTTTGCCAGACTACTGAAACTGAAAAAAGAAATAGGCATCTAGTAGGGGGATGTGAATGAATTATGTTCTGAAGACTTTGCTCTGTGGGGTAGGCAGTGAGAGAGGAAGCAGGGGAGTTTGGAGTTCAGCATAGAGAAGGCTGGAACTGGTCTTGTGGAGACAGAGATGACTACAGGAGAACCACTCACACCCATGTTCTCCACACTGTTGAAGGGCCCAGGAGATTGGTGACCATGAATTCTAAGCTGCATCATTTGGCCTCTGCAGTGTACAACTTCCAGGGGGTATCACTATCCTCGGTCTACTTTTCTTGGTCTACTACTAGCACCATTGTCCCCTATATTGTGAACTCAACCACACATCTGGCTAGCTTATCAACCACCAACTTTAAAAATGCAACTGCTAAATATTCCTCAAATCCCTCCTCTTGTTTTCTTGCACTTTTTAACAAATTCCTCTCTGTCCTCTCTGCTCCTCTTCTCTCTATTCAGCTGATAGACTGGATGTGAGGTGTTTGGTAGAAGGAGATGTTGAGAAAGACTTTCTGCTTTTGGAGACTCCCTAATCCCTTGACCTCTACAGCTCTTCACTCCTCCCTCCTCCGTGATCATGCCTTGCGGATCTTTCCATGGCCCATGTTTCACTGTCAGCTCCTTAAGTGATGTGATTCTCCAAGGTCCCTGACCATCTCTATCCACTCTTGCTGGAAAGCTCATTAACTTCAAGTCTTAATTATATGTTGTCATTTTATAGCTCTTTATCTCACTTTTTAACTATTTATTGTGTTCCAC